TATCTGTCAAGAATAATCACAAGGAGTCCTGAACTAAGTACCACGTAAGCCAGTGGCAGATCCCAGGGGGGGGGAAGGTACTAGCGAATCACTCCCCATGAAAAATTTCTGTATCCACCACTGCGTAGAGCAAGCAGGGAGAAGATAACAGTCCTTTCCTCTCACAAGACCAATACAGGAGAGGAAAGTACGTAACAGGATTTGTAGCTCACATGACAGAAGATTATGGCTTGGCCAATGGAGAGGGCTCCGTAGATGTTGGCTATGGCCTGGTACTTGGAATCCTGATCTCTGCATTCCACGTAATACTGCTTGATGTTATCCAGGCTCTCTTCGTCTCGTCGCAGACGGATCGTCACAGGGTTCTTGATGATGGCCTCGGCAAAGTCCATCACATCCTGGTCGTACGTGGCCGAGAAGAGCATCATCTGGCAGTCCTGAGGCAACTGCCTGCAAACACAGGAGATGGGTCTCAGCCAGGCTTCAAACAGAAATCAGAAGGAAATCCATCCGAGGGATGCACGGACTTGTGGATTCGCACGGACTGGTCCTGGTGCCCCTGCATGGCGATCATCACATCTGCTTCGTCCAGAATGAACACCTTGATCTTCTGAGTGTCGAAGCATTTGAACTTCATGACCCAATCTATGACCTTCCCTGGGGTTCCAATTACAACCTGCTCATCAATCTTTTCTCCTCTTGAAACTGCAAAACAAAAACAAAACAATCACATCTGAAGTCTCACTAGACTATTGAGGGCACAAGACAGGGCTACTTACTTCTTTCACCTTTGACAGCATAACGGACTCTGATTTCAGGACAGAACTGGGCCATCTTTTGGGCAACATCACCTGTCTGCAGTGCAAGTTCATATGTTGGCGACAGGCAGAGGGCCTACAAGAAAGATTAAACTTTTCAATAAACATATACAGAATGATTCAAAAGTGACTCCCTAATTTGTTCTCTTTACATTCAATTTTGACAATTTAAAGGTAAAATTTGCTTACACGCTAGTCAAGTAGGGGGAAACTACTTTGAAACACCGAGCTTACTGTTCTTGACTTAAAATGGCAGAGGCCAAGTTGGTTTTGCAGCAGAGCAAAGTGGCTATTTGAATGGGCACTTTTGGTTCAATGGTTTTAGTGCAGTGTGGATTACGAAGACACCTCATGACACTCCTGATGCCAGAGCCACAAGAAACACACATCAGGAATTCTTAGAGATTGGCTTGATCATGGGCAAACTCCATGGCAGATGCCCCAAGTCAGCTTGAACAGATGACAATCAGAAATCAGCAGATGATTGAGGACCCTCTTTATTTCCAGTCAGATCAAGTAACTTGACCTGACCTTTGTCAATTTCTTTCTGAAGGGCTATGTAAATTCAAAAGTTTATGCATTTGGCAGATTTGAAAAAAATGCATCAAGGCTCTAATGCAGGGAATTTCCCAAAGGGTGTAAAACAAAGTTGCAAATGAGGCTGTTTACAGGTGACTTCAAGTGCGATTCAAATGTAATTGAATTAAGGTGCTAATTTGGAAGGGTAGTGAAGGTTGGAATGTTAATTTTCTCACAGAGAAACAAAACCCCCATTACTGCTCTAAAGAATGATGTATTTTATCTCCATGAATCTCTTTCCTCTTGAAGAAATAAATTTTCTTAATCTAGGGAGGGATTNTTGAAAAAAATGCATCAAGGCTCTAATGCAGGGAATTTCCCAAAGGGTGTAAAACAAAGTTGCAAATGAGGCTGTTTACAGGTGACTTCAAGTGCGATTCAAATGTAATTGAATTAAGGTGCTAATTTGGAAGGGTAGTGAAGGTTGGAATGTTAATTTTCTCACAGAGAAACAAAACCCCCATTACTGCTCTAAAGAATGATGTATTTTATCTCCATGAATCTCTTTCCTCTTGAAGAAATAAATTTTCTTAATCTAGGGAGGGATTTTTGAATCACACTGCATTTAAAATTATTGTTTTCACTTTTTCATGTTCCCTGCATGCCAAGCCCTGGCAAGTGAGTATATATCAGCTCAATGATGGAGTCCCTCCACCAAGTCATATGTGGCATCTGCCTTCCTTATAAGTCCTTATAAGCAACAAAGACCTACTCCTTCCTCCAGAGGAATGGAATTGCACAAATACAAACCAAAGGAGAGCAATAGCCAATATTCACACAGGAAAAATTGGAGATGGGATGGGTAAGAGGATTGCAGAATGATTCTATTCCTTTGCTTGGTAGAGACCTTTTTACTTGGCAAAACCAGAAAACCATTAAGATGGCATTCACAAGAGAGGAATAGTATTTTTTAAGGGTATCAAGAGGGAACATCAAACAGTTCACATCACCTCTATATTGTAACCACCTTCCAACAACCTCACTCTTGTGCATAACAAATAACAGACCTTGTCAAATCATGTGCATCTAAAGGGGGTTGTCATACAGTAAAGCAGGAAGACCATGGTGTCTTCTGATGTATGTATGCCTACATGTATCGGTCTCCTGCCTTCTTTAGCATGTTGCTTGCTAGGCCTGTCATGAATTCTTCATCATGTAGCTCATGTGAAATAATGACCAGAATCAAATTTTAATCAAGGGGTTTGCACCTCTTTTTATGCTGTGGGATTGCAGGTATCCCCACCCAAGGTACATCAAAGGGGGGAGGTGGGAAAGCACCATCCTCACCTCAAAGAGAATTTATTTTAAAGGAATTCCAGGAAATGATACTGGCACATCATTAGTACAAGAACAGGTATCCCCTGGGGCATGAGCAGCCCATTAGAAATTTACATCAATGAAAGTTCTATAATGACATTCTCCACAAAAGCTGATACAAATAGAATACTTCTTCAAAGAGACTCCTTCCCCATTGATGAAGGCAACAGCACAAACAAACAAGACCTACCAGACAACTTTAGAAATCTTGCAGCCAAGAAAACGAAAGTGAACAAATTGCAAACCTCAGGTCTCAGGGCAGGCAAGGTGTTCATTATTGACAGGTGATGACACCGGAATACTCTCAAAAAAGCCTATTAGAGTGCATATCTAGATGATAAGAAGGTAACTGGTTGCCCATGCAAAGATTTCAAGACCTCTGTTCTCCAGCACCATGCTCCATTCAAAACAGCCACATCATCTCAAGATGGGCTCCCAAAAATAGCAGCAAAGCATCTCAGGGTTAATGGCTACTGGCTGCCATAACAAATGCACAGTGCATTAAATTCCTTAATATTGAGGTGATTTTTTAATCGCCTCCTAAAAATGGCAGTTTTATAACCAATGCTCCCAATAGGTAAAAACCTCCAAGTGGCTCCAACCACAGTCAGGAGAAATTTTGATCCATATTATTTACTGCTGGCACATTCAGGTACTGGACACCACAGTCCAGCTACTGGGGCAATTAAGTCCAATGGAAATACTCCTATGTTTGCATGTAGTGGACTGAGCACTCTCTGCACAGCCATGACTGTTCTCCAAAGCACTTTAAAATCATGTCCATACACATGAAAAGCATTTTTGGAGCAAATTGGCAATGCTTAGTCAACAATAAACTCAGGAAGCCATTGATTCCTTGTAATCTGGCCCTTTGATGCCAACACAACACCAATGACATACAAAGGCATTCCAGAGGTTCACTCCAAAATAATAGCTGAATTGCTCCCAATACCACTCTGTTCTGTTGAATGGATCTCTCTTATTTGCATGATTGAATTGGTCAAAGCCATACAATGCACAAGGATGATGGGAACATGGGCTTCTGCTTTTGTAACACCTGAATACAATGAATTCTTTCAATCACACATTCACTACTTCACTCAGAGATATTCATGCATCTTGCTGAGATTCCTTTCAGGAACTTTCAGATTCTCAATCTTTTAACTTTTATGCTATGCTTGCTGGAACTGTTGAACATATGAATTCATGATCATGCAGTGCTATTAATTGATGAAGAAGGAGGAACCAAGTACCAAAGTGCCTGTAAGCAATAAAAGCTTCTTCACCATCCTAACAGAAGATCCAGGGGGTCAATTATTTTCCATTCAGCACAGGTGGCACTCTAAAAATAAAACCTCACTAAAAAAAAAAAAGCCACAAAAATGATTCAAATCTCACCTGGGGATAATTCTGACTAGGGTCAATTCGACTTAGCATGGCAAGAACAAAAGCAGCTGTTTTGCCGGTCCCAGACTGACTTTGAGCGATCATGTTCTGAGGTCTACACAAGACAAGAAAAAAAAAACATGAAAATCAAATCCAGGCACAATCATGGCAATCAGTTCATTGTGATGATACTCACGGATTGGCCATCAGAGTTGGCAAGGCAGTCTCTTGAATTTTAGAAGGGGCATTGAATCCCATTGCATACACTCCCTTCAGCAGCTCTGGTCGGCTAAAAAAAAAATTTCATATATGTGATCAGAATCACATCCAAGGAGTTGGCGAATAAGAAATATTTGAAGTATCGAATAAAAGAGAGGCTCACAGATTCAAGGCCTCAAATGATTTGACAGAGTAGAGAGGGGACTTTGGATCTTTTCTCTGGATCTCCAAGTCACTAGAAGTCTCAATTAGCTTAGTTCTAAGTATTTTCTGGAGAAGAGAATTCTCAGCAACAGATATGGATTCATCTTCTTTGTCAGATTTTGAGATCAGTCCATTTGCTGAGGATCCAGGTTGTTGAGATGTGCCATCTCTAATTCTCACTCCTGACACCTAAAGAGAAAGAGAGCAGATGAAGGATTAAATAAATTCATGTCTAAACAAGCATTAAAAAAAACAACCTTGCACTGAGGCTAAGGTTTGGACTACCCAGGTAGTCCAAACCTTCCTAAAATATCCTATTTTAAAATTTTTGAGATGTTGAGCCCAGGAAGGGAAGGCATACATGCATGCCTGCACAGATATCAAGTCCCAAGCTTATCTGGCCATTTCATGGCTCCAGTCTCACTCACGCCTTGAACTTACATTCTTTTTCCTGCTATAGCACGAATAATGAATAGTTGGGTAGAAAATTCATTATTGAAGAGGTACCTATGGATAGAGCCACTTTCTAAATAATTTCAGCATCAGTCCAGACATCTTAAGTTGTACTCTAGAGAGATCTGTGCCCACTGCACATGTACATGAACAGAGAGACTTTAAAAGACACAAATCATGTAGGAACGTGTTTTTGTTCCAGGATTATTTCCTGCCATGACATTATGAAACCTACCCACCTACATGATATAACAATGTAATGCTGAAGCTACCATAACAAAAAAAGTCTAAGCTAATTAAAGTGAACCAATTTATGAAAAGTGGAATGGGGGAATTAAACTGAAAATAGGGTATTTAACATTGTGGCTATGTTCATCTAGGATGCCTTTAATACATTACAGAAGTTAAACATTTTAACTTAGCGGTGTAGTTAAAAATACAAGAAACAACCTGAACTATGTATTTTTCCTACATTTCATGAATATAAATTTTTAACTATATCAAGACTTAACTTGAAGCTTCTCCACTTCATTTACAAATCAATTTAGCCATAGTTTTAATTTCAGATCATTCTTCCTCTGGACTCTCATCAATTGAAGTAGAAATGGGGATCTAAAGCTGTATAAATCCCAAAATGGATAGCTGAGTTAATTGAATCAAAATGACAACAAATATATGAGCAAGAAAGGACTGTGGGAGGCCAAGTATCTTTTAACCCTTTCATATGCTCATCTTCTAAGACTTGCTAGTTCCTTGCAAGGGATCAACCTAGATTGGCTCCAAAGGGTGATCAAATACAACCTGAAATCTAAGATACAAGCCAGGAAAAACATACAGGCTAAACTTTAAAATCAGCAAAATAAAAATGTCAGTATCATATATTTCCCAGTATATGAAAAAGTATGGGTGTCAAGTGGTAGAACTGCTGCTATAGAAATCAAACTTGCACTAGACTGTTACCATGGGTTGGTACCATGATGAGTGGAAACTTTTAGTAACTCTATTGGATTCAGTTCAAAATTTCAAACATAATTTCATTCCTCTGAATCATAGAATGGGATGTCTTATAAGTTCTTTGCAAATACTAAAACTAGAGACAATTATGGAGCAACAGTTGAATGAACCATGAGGAGCCAAGGCAGTTGTAACACTTGTCAGACAGAAATGGTTCAGTGTAGGTATGCCTAGCTCAGCCCCAAGTTGAAATTGAATTGAAAATTTTAAAGGGATGCAAGAGGGTAGATAGTTTGTATGAAGGTGTTTCATAACTGATATTCCTGTCCCATTTATTGATTATATTCTTCTTGACAGTGCCTATTATGAACATGTTGGATATGCACAGAAACGAAAGATTTAATATAAAATTTGGATTCATTGTAAATTTAAAAAAATAAAGTTTTTTTTAAAAGATGAACCTATAAAAATTGAAGGCACAGACCAAATGGGACTAACCATATTTGATAGCTTCTCTTGTTCCTCTGCTGCCTTCGTCCAATTCAGGTCAGATGCCATATTGTCAATAAAACCAGGCCCTCAAGGAATGGTCACAAACTTCCAAATGATGCAGAAGCCTTTCTGCACTCTTGAGGAAAATAAGAAGTCTAGTAGTCAAGGCTTCAGTCAGTTTCAGATATTTCTAATAGCTTAGGAAGTAAACTGAAAACTTCTGGGAAGGGACAATAATGTGCAGAGAAGCTACTTGCTTCTCCAAATACAAAAGTATATATAGGCTCTGAACTAAGAGCTTAAAAGGGCCTATGAGTAACTCTCAATAGTTAGACCTAATAGCTGAAGCAGTTTGCCACGCCTAGCCCGATCACTAGCTGTTATCAACGAACGAATTGCATCGATAACGACAGACAGCATGCGACCCTGGCACGTCAGACAACGATGAGTCGACGTTCTTCCCCTAAACCTTTCCCTGAACCCTACCTACAGCTCAGAATCCCACCACTCGCCTCCCACGGTTGCCAAATCTTTCGGCAAGGTGCACTTTTCTTCATGGACAAATTTCGGTAAAACCTGAGGAAATTTAAAAAAGATTGAAGATTATTGCTTTCTTTAATAAAAAAAAGAATATGGTAAACAATAATTTTTTTTTAGGTAAAAGGGCGCTTATGTCCTCGCATGACATAAGTCGGGCTCAGATTTTCGGCATCCTGTTGGAAAACGAATGTCGGCGTCCATACATTCTCTCACGGAGCACGTGCAAAAACAGTTTCTGCGTAGGCTGAGGCTTGACATCGCATCGCACAACATTCACTCGGGAGAAAGGATGGATTGGATGTACAAGAAGCCCGGTGATGCTGTCGATACTGACCAGTACCTGCTTGGAAAGGCTATCGATCGTAACTTCGAGGAGAAATGCGATCCTGACTTCGTTCAAGCTCCAGGTTAGCAGTGGTCTTACCTAATGCGTGGCTGACGTTGATAGGCCTTAGGCCTGAAGCCTTATGTGTAGTTCACGCTTAGTGCAAGGCTTAGCACAATGTTTCTGTTGCACAAAGAACACTAAATAATGAATATTTATATTATTGCCCATGGTCAATCCTTACGAGCCTATTTATGGCTTAAAAAAAATATATATACGAGGGCTGTTCTGAAAGTTCTTAGTTACGTCATATATAATGGTACAATTCAACATTTTGAAAACAATCCATTCCCAAACGTTTCCGAAGATAGCCGGAGCCTTATCGTTGGTCTATAAAAGCGGCTGACGCGATTGAAATTCATCACTTGTGGCTTGCGAGGAATTCTGCTTCACCACGACAACGCACCACGCAACAATGCACCGGCGCACAGGGCCGCTGGGACGTTGGACTTTTTACACCAATCTGGTGTCCAACTTTTTGAGCCATCCATTTTACAGTCCTGACCTGGCCCCTTGCAACTTTTTTATTTCTTACAATAAAAAGCACAATGCCAAGCCACCTGCCAAGAGAAGCATTTTCAACTTGTTTTGACAAATGGTTTCAAAGAATAAATAAGTGTATTAGTGTTGGGGGAGACTACTTTGGAAAACAATAAATAGAATTCAACAAAATTATTGGCCTTTTTTCTTTAACTAAAAACTTTCAGAACAGCCCTCGTACATGTTTTTTTTTTTTTTGCTTTTCCCCCCCAACCTTTTCAGATTTGAATTAAAGCCACTATTGGAATAATATCATTTTTTTGCATTTTTGGGCTATTTCGCTATTGTAACTTAAATTTTTTTGTTTTATATATCGTTTTTATTTTTTGTATAAATGTACCATATCATACCATACTTAATATATTATGTTATTATATCATTCAATATTATATAGACATATAATTAGATAACTGAAGATTTAAAAACTGAAGGGTGAAAGAAGGTCTCCGATGGAATTGAGCCATGCATAATTGCACCCATTGTAGTGTAATATGGGATGAAAAGTCCCGAGAATCCCAAGAAATTCCCCATGGAGACAATGAAAATGCAATGTCCATTGGGATGGACGCCAGGTCTGAAAGGGCTAAATCTTAAATTCTAATAGACATTTTGTTTCCTGAAACGACCTGAACCTTGAACATGAGATCGGCGTTCTTCATGGATGGTCTTTGCACTCATCCGCACTGGGCTCAAGACGGTAGCAACGCGACAGTTGTTTCCGGCAACTGCTAAGGATTTTTCATTAGTTTCGAGACGGCTTTCACATAGTTTCAGCTCTGATTCCCACTAGACCGTGGATATTAAAAATTCCAAGCGTTCAGAGTCATTCACGTCGAGTGTCTACTTGAGATAAATAAAAGAAGCTGCCATTCCGGCTTTGGTCCTCGCATCGAGAAAGAGCTATATCCAAGTTAAAGCGGAGGCTTGTGATTTGGTTTCTAAGGGTGATCCTTTTCAGGAGATGTAAGACCTAGGCTCATGTATTCCCAAGCAGGACTTCGGTTTTGGCAGTTCTGATCAATATTTATTCATCTTTCCTCGTTGTTATTGTTTTGCTTCTTACTTAATTGATCCTCTCGCGACCCACCATTAGTTCGTAACATGGTGATTCACCACTGGGCAGTTCCGGAGTTATTGGGACAAAAGTAATTGATTGATTTACAAAAATTTCATCCAATTTACTTTCCCTGCACTATATGGATACTTGGATATATGGATAGTATAAGGATCTTTAACCAAATGAGCTCCACTAAACATTCATTACCTGACGTGGGATGGTTTTTCATCACTCCAGTACCATTCCAGTTTGATGAATTTAACACTTGCATGCTGAACCTCGCTTTTTGACTCATTTGTTATGTCAGTAACGCTGGAAAACTCTCCTAGTCAATTCATTTTTTGATCAGCAACAAATATCACTTGGCAAGAAGTAAGATTTTCTTTCCTGAAAATATGAAAGCTTCAGGTCAAGCAAAATCATACAGAATAGGATTGGAAGTAGCAGAACGAAAACCCTTGTCTCAACTGTGTTACGTCAGTAAAACGACATGAACGGGCTTACTTTTTTTCATCTATGGGAAAAACCTGACAATTTTGGTCGGGATGGGCACAAGTATTTATGCTCTATAAGGCACCGTTCAATTCGAATTTCTGAACCGAAACATCTTTAGGGTGACCGAATACAGGCTGGTGTTTCATTTAAGAGTCCGAACTTCTGAGTTCTGGATGTCGGAAGGAGCTCTCTCCAGAGCATCTTCCATCAGAATAGCTGAATTTGATCGAAAAGCACCCTCTACCTCCGGTTGGTTTGGTAAGACATGAACGATTGGGGGGGGGGGGGGGGGGGGGGGGGGGGGGCCCTCAGTCACCATTAGGTTCGCACAAGTGGATTGGTGACAAACACTTTTCTGCGGAGTAACGCGCCTTGTTCTTTTGGTGGTCCCTCAAGTGCTGGTAGAGGCACGACTTGGTCACAATTTTACAAAGTTATAAGCTACGACTGTCTGGTAACTATGAAAGAAGAAAGGAAAAGCAAGTCGAATCACCCCAGTTCGATAGTGGAACATCATTCGGTGAGTATTGGAAACAGGAGGAGGAAGATGACGCACATCATGACTGACATTCGTAGAAGTAGCGAAATGGGAGAAGAGGACGAGTAAAGCCGCCTTTTGTGACTTTCATATATGAGGATAGCTAATCTGTCCCCAAAGCCTGGGCGGTCTCAGTTTTCATTTGTAGAAAGTGGGGCTTGGGCGGATGGAAGTGAAATGTAACTTCCAAACCAAGGCACTCTTGCTGAGGGTCTCTTAGCGCCCAAAACGGCATGAGGTGCCAATTCTCTTAGCACACGGTGGGATATTGAAAATAAACATAAACTGAATTTAGAGATTGAAAAACAACTTTTCTCTCCCCCCCCCCCACCAACTCCTTGAATTTCTTTCCATAATGATTTCAATACCACCCAGTTTTAAATTTCAGCTATGATTTTCAGTTGGACAACAACTCTACATTCCGACCAGTTCCAGCCGGGAAACAGCCGGAACAAATGAACATAGTTTTTAGCAAAATTGTTTCATTTGGACTGAGAATGATTTTGTTTGGTGTTTGGTGTTTGGTGTTTGGTGTGTCTAGCTATGAAAGCAGCTGGATAGCAGCAATTAAAAAAAAAAAACAGTTTCATCAAGTAACGACTATTTGCGCACATCCTGTTCCCCAATGCTCCAATTGCTCACACCCGAATGGTCATCTGGATGGGTACACAGGGGCCCATATGTGCACAGATGATGTCGCCCCCCATTGCTCAATTGCTCTCCAACAAATTACGGAGACATTTAAGTGAATCCCAAACAACACAGTTTTATTACGTTTGTTGCTTGCCAGGAAGCCATTTCAGAAGAAGAACAAATTCCTTTTCGTTAAAGCAGTACCTTCCGTCAGAAATCACATTATTGTCTATGGGGAGATACGCCCATTTTGTACCGAAGAACCTCGAAGCGATGATAGATGCTCTAATAAAATCGAGGCAGTTTCCCTGATGCTTCTGGATGGATTGAGAAAGCTCAAATATAGCTTTTCTTAGCTTCCTCTCGCTAGAAGGCCCTCTCATGTGACCAGCTATTCGAGAAACAACGATGAACTTCTGTCCACAGGATAACTATCTACTGTTAAGCAGGGAAGAGATTTACAGAAGGCTGCAAAGTCGGCGACAGGGCAGACTAAGTCGGTCCAAGGTTTCAGGAGACGCTTCCTCCCATCCATCGTTGACTTCTGTCTAGGGCTGTGCCGATTATCACGATATCGTGATACCGTTCGATGGATATACTATCGGCAATATGTGTGAATATTGCGATAATTTATTTGCAATAAATAAGTAATCTCCTGCGACAGCAGGAGAAGGAAAATAGAGCACACGAACTGCGCCATTCGTGTCTATTTTAAAAGAACAAAGGGTGAGGACAATGAAGGGATTGGCTCAAGGCTGACAAGGCTGACGCCTTGACAAAACTGATAGGATGAGGGAGGGAGGTATGGGATAGTCGGGTCCTCGGACTGCAATCCTCCCTTATTGCTTTTTTTTCCATGGGAAAAGAAAGCATCGTGCATGCCTTGCGACAGAGAACGTCAATATCTTCTCCTTCCTTGCTTTGAACCGCGATCAACTACGATGTGATATATT